TTCTGAGCGGCGTCCGAAATGCGTTATCATTCTGCATTTTCGGACCCATTTCTACAGGAGAAAAAAAAATAGAAAAAAAAAGAAGAGAAAAAGAGTCGAGCGCTCAGGCCGACCTACCGTCCCGTCAGGTGATTCCTGACCCCCCTTCTAGGAGACCCGAAGACGAACAGCATTTCGAATTTTCGAGATTCCCTCGCGGTCATAGCTCCGCGGCCTAGCAGGATCGTAGAAATCCCGTCGAACAATGTAGAGGCAGTCCTGAGGAAGCGAGGCCGATTTTGTGTGAAATCGCGCTCAGGTCTCAAATTGGGATTGTTTAATCTAATTTAGGACGTTCTCCTTATTCCTTCGCGAGGAGACGATGCGGGCGACGAGAAGAAAGAAACAGAGAAAATAAGGGAGAGATCGCGAGGGTTTCTTCTCTTGCACGGGGATACAAGGTATAAATTAATTATTTACTTCTAAGAAGCCGATTATTAATAGGGAGAAATCTACATTTGATTAAGATTCATGTTGAGCTGATAACAGCGGCGTTCATCAACGGATGTTTATATTTCCACATTCTGCACTGTACGCAGCCCGTAGTGTGCTGATACCGCCTGCAATATCTTATCGATCACTGCTCAAGTCAAAGACATTTTTGCGAAGATTTCGCGCTGAAGCTAAAGCAAAGCGATGATCATGACGTTGCATGAGCGACGATCGATCGCAAAGCGACGACGGTCCTTAAGCGCTGCGGTTCTGTGACAATCTGTGCGCTAGTTATCGAAAATAATAAATTGATTTTAGGATATTTCTATTTTCGATCCACTGAACACGGATCGAACAATCGATGTGAGACCTCCTCGCCCGCATTCTCTCCTCGATCAGCAGATCAAAGTAAAACTTTTAATATCTTTGACACAGCTGCCGCTTCAAGAGCACCGCATAGTATTTAGTGTATCAGTTAAAAAAAAAAAGAAAAAAAATGTGAAAAGAGAAGTACCGCATTTTAACTTACGCGGGGAGGCATATATTAGGTCTATTCTTTATCAAAGAACTCTCTGAACTGCACACGGTGTAATAAGTTGAAGTGAAACATACTATATTTGTTTCACATCAACTTATTGCACCAGTGTGCATCAGTTCATCGATAAAGAATAGACCTATTGGCCACGTTTATCAGAATTTATTTTGCAATTGTCAGAAATTTTCTTTGAGTTTGGATTATACTTTTATGTCTACAGGAATAGTCCTTTTCAACGAAGAAAACTTTCAACAGTTGTAAAATAAATATTCTGCTGAACGTGGCTATCGTGAACGAGATAGAATGCGCGTTCGACGGACGCGCAAGTATCGGGAGGATTTATCATTCGTGTCGTCGATGGATTGCGTATTGTCCTTTAACGGGATACGTAAGAACATGAGGCACGAGGAGAATGATCCACGTTTCACCTGCAAAAACATTATCCTTCGTTGTTACGTGACTAACGATCCCCTTTCTCGTCATAAATGTCTATTCGTGCATAGGTAAAACGGAGCTAAATTCCATCGAGAAGTACTAGGGTAGGAGTTATCTGTGTGTCGTGTTTCTATATCGTAGAGAATAGAGATACGCGGAGGAGTGGTGGTTACTTGATAGATTCGCTGCGTCAATCATACAGACGACGCGGTCCAAGCTAGCCGAGGAGTCCGACGAGGATGATGCCGGAAGAAATCTGTAGAGCGTTTCGTTGTCGTGAGGAGAGTCGCAGGGCGATGATGACATGTCTCAAAAAAACGTTCATCCGACGGACGAACAATTCGTCTTCGATCGTTTCTTTAAATTACCTTCGACCGAAGGCCTTTGTTTTCTGAAATTGTGACACGAATGATACTTTAGAAAACAGCGATCGTAGCACTGACGATCTTTTATTTCTGTATCAAACTAAAGATTCAGATTAAGATTGAATTTGACTAATCAAAGCGAAGTTTGCTATTACTTGATATTAGTTCTTTCTTTTGACTGGTTAATCTCGATCTTTAGTTTGATATGGATTTTGCAGATAATATTAGCGCGAGGTTTGCATGGTGGACAATGACATTGTTTTATGAAAGAAATAAAGGCTGCGGTCTATTTGATGTTACAAATAAATAACTGAAACATTTTTGATTGGTTAATAAAATCAGTTAAAATTAAATTCTTTTTTCCGATTCGTTAATCAAATGCTTCGAAACATTTGTAGTGTCAAGTGGACCGCATCCAAAATCTTCACCTGGCTACGTATCGCCTCGCTATTCCTATTAAAAAAAGTATTAGATATGAAAACTATATAGTAAAAGGTATCTTACAGTAATCGAATAATTGTAGCGTCGCACAAATTTTGCAGCTCATCCATCTCACAGTCAGGTGTTGCAGGAAAGTTTTCTCGAGATATGATTCGAGGAAATACGTGAAGACATTTGTAAACTCCTAAAATAAAGGAGGATCTATCAAGCGAAAAATAACCTGTCCAAAAGAGTTCTTCAAAAGAAGAACGATGATGGCAGAGAAAACTGACCGATGGACCTTGAAGGAAGAGTTGCTAGAGACGCTTAAACCGTAACGAAGCGTCAAAAGAAAGGCTTAAGGAAGAGAGGTAATCAAAAGAAACGGGATAAAATCTCCGCTATAAGAAATCATGTCATTGTCTTCGTAACGACAGATCGAACAAAGCTCTATCTGTTGCGGTACTTAAATCCCAGCTGCGTGAGAAACGTTTGGCCGATGTTCTCTGAAGTATCGCTATTTTCTGAAGTATTGACAATGTCTGAAGAAGGCCAATCGTTGATCTTTAAATAAATATTCGTTCCTAGATGAATTTCGCGGTTTGTCGCTGGTTATGAAATCAGCGAAAATACATTCGGGGAAATAATTAAGATGAAACTTTTTGTGCTTAAAAACATTTTCTTAACTGAGATGTTTTAATGTCAAAGCATGATGAACCGATAAGACGACGGTGACGATATGATAACGTGGAAAGAAAATGTGCCGAACATTGCGCTTATTTGAGATTCTACATGAGACATGATTATTTTTAGTAAGTCGATGGCAGGCCTTCCATTCATTTTCATCTTACGCCGTGAAAAGTTGTATACCGTGGAAGTTGTGACTTCCTGGTGCAGGAGTACGCGTTTATCAGTGAGTCTTCGTGAGGCAGTTAATGGTGGTTAAGTTTTGCTCAGACAGTGCAAAGGTCCAAAATGCATGTACACAGTAACTGTCTGTACTACGTAAAAAACTTTTGGAAAACTAAGTTCTTTCGAATGTTTTTTTATGGATTTTGGACATTTATGCTGTCTGGGAATACCTCATCTTTGCTAAAAGATTGAAAGAAAAATCGGGTCGTACCAAATATCTTGACTCTTAATATTCTTATAATTGTACCTTGAAAAATCCATCTAGTGCCGACCCTGCGTGTGTACCCCTAGATCGCAATTGTCGCATGCCGACAGTGTCATGTCGAGTCGATGTATCGCCTTGAATTAATTAAATTCGAATCGAAATCAAAACGTGTCGGTTTCGATGCGAAAGTGATTGTAGCTGCGATTTAAGGATGTACCGAACGTGTGTACGTAGAAGTTGATTATCCGGAATTACAGGAGAATTTATAGGCCAGAAGGAGAATTGATATACAAGAAGTAAAACAGAGAGACAAGTGCGATTAAGCACAATATCGAACTGTAACTTATAGAGGACATCTTTACTCACCATTCTTGCGAGATCAGACGCAAATAATACTTTGACGAAATTAAATTAATATTGCAAAAATGATAGACTGTCGTGTCAATAGACATCCTATGATTTTATTACGAGAATCGAGAGAATTCTAAGTAATGTGTTTGAAAAATATGAGAACGCCTAAAAGATCAGGACGTCTTTCGTACGTTGTGTTATCCGGTTGAAGTATGATCTTGATGATTAAAAGCGGATTTCGCCGAATGAAAGTCGGAGAAAGCTCTCCTCTATACGAGACACATTCGTGCCTACACGAAAACGATGGTGCTCGATTAGACCGATCGTTGATGACGATATTGAGACACGGTGATATCGGAGGAGACGGCGATGAAAGCGATTTGTCTTGTCGCTGCAAATGAGAAGCGATAGAGTGGCCCTCGGGCCCAGTTTCTATAGATTAGTGCGTAAGTTTTTTACCGCCTGTAAGTTACACAGGATTTTCTGTTCCGATCGCGAGATTTACTTTCCCATGTGCATACATATGTATCTATCGCCTACGTGCTCATCTTGTCATTCGTCCGATTATTTATTGTTCATTCTTCGTTTGCGTTTCATGATCATTTTTTTTATCGCATTCACCGGACGCAGAGGCGCGTTCATTCGAAAATCAGTCGTCAAGAAAACGAGAGTCTAACAATGTCGTTTTATGGAGACATGCGTGACCAAGATTTTACTTCGCCGATCGGCGAAAGGGAGGACGAGCGAGAATTTTGTAATAGAAAGAAACGTATAGAAGAAAGAGAAAGAATAGGCGTAAGGGACATCGAAAAAGATAGACCAGAACGATCGATATTGTTATAAATACGATTATTACCATACTAATTATTTTTAACGACTATTATGCTTGTTATCTTTGCGAATAATATTATTGTGCTACTATTATTATTATTGCGATTACTATTAATATTATTGATATTACAATTATGTTCATGAGAGAGGGTCATTATCATCATCATCATCGTTCTCTTTCTATCATATACTTGAATAGAGAATTTTTATATTTATCGATACCTTCATACGTATGATAGCGAATTGATGTGCAAGAGAAAAGTATTTAAGAGAGAAGTAGAAAGAAAGGTAAGAGTAAAAGAAAGAAAGAGAGAGAGAGACAAGGAGGGAGAGAGATGATGACGATGAAGTATGTGTACCTATGTATTTACGTATTATTTATTGACAAGTAATATAATGACCAGTTATCTAGGTAGGATGTTAAAATTATGAAATTCAATTTAACAAAAACAAAATAAATTAATAAACTATTAAATGAGAAGCTATTGTCGATCGATGATGATGCGCGCAGGATAGATTAAATAAACGATGAATTTATTGGAGTAATTTAAATAAAAAGTATAAAAATAACAAAAAAAGAACAAATAATTGATTAGGAACGAGCTTTCACCGAAACAGATTAGCGGGAAATATGAGGGAAGAAGAAATTATATATTATATATATAGATATCTATATAATATATGAACAAAGTACATAAGAAAGGAAGTATAATAGAAAGCGTGAGAAAGAAAGACAGAGAAAAAGAGCGAGAGAGAGAGAGAGAGAGAGAGAGAGAAAGAGAGAGAAAGCAGGAGAAAGAGAGAAAGAGAGAGAAAGCAGGAGAAAGAGAGAAAGAGAGAGAGCGAGATATGAAAAACGTGAGCCTCAACACCTCTACGAACCCCTAAAATCGCGGTGCCCGACGGGTGCGAGAACGGTGATATCGATGATTTCCTCTAAAGAACAATTAATAATAATATTATTAATTAGAAGAGAAAAATTGTCACAGTCGTTCCGGTAATGGAGGAAAATGGCGATCTTCCGCTCTCGACGTTTCTCGATTCGCTCGCGCTTTTTTCCCTCGATCGCTTCTTATCCCACAAGCCGGACAGACGGCACGAATCGACAAAAATCAAAAGATGCGCCTTTCCTCCACCGTGAAATTTTCTCAGATATTCTATGAGAAGCTCTAGTCAGAAATCACGTTTCCTGGCGCAAAGAGATAAAAGAGAAGATCCAGTCGAAAATCTCGTTGTTGCGCAACGAGAGTAATGCGAGACTTCGCGTTTCCGGCGCGAGACAGCGCGAGATCGACAAAGATCTCGGAGAAACGTTCAAGGAACGTTCCGAGGATGCTGTGATTGTACCGCCGAACGTTGCTTGGATATTCTCTGATATTTTAGTGCTGTTCGAGTTCCTTATATATTATACGATTACACGATCGCGGTTCTCACCCGTCGCAGCGCATCGGCGCGTCGCGTTCTTTTCGAATAACGAATTAAAAGAAAAAAAAAGAAAAAAACTTACTGTGGAGTGTTCATGGTGCTATGATTATTATTATTATTATTATTATAGAAATAACGATGTTACGCTATATGATAAAAATGATAATATAATAAATATACACTATACCTTAGAATTTGTCGCCTGTGTGCCTCACGCGTCTTGATTTTCTCCTCGTCGATCGACCGTAGATCAGCCGCCTGTTTGAGATGTTTTTGCACAAGGATCAAAACCGGCGTGATCCCGCTGCGTATAGAACTCGATGCTGCAAACACGCGAAAATAATCTCTACGTTCGAGTTACAATGATCGTGAGATACATATTTTCGTGACTGCAGCATCGTTAAGTTAAATCAGTCGGGAATTGCACCAGTTTCGTATCCCGCTTCTGCATGCTCACATATTTTGTTTTATATGTCGTGTAAGTTTGTAATGAAAAAAAGGAGGAAAAATAAATAGCCCCGTGCGCCCTATAAAACTGCGTTCAGATACATTCTCATCAATTATATTCACTTCTTTATTTTTTTATATCATTAAAAAATGTCTTTTTTTTTTTAAATAACATAAATCAGTTTTACGAATGGATTATTAAAAGGTAGAGATGTAAAACCACATTGTTAGCTAAAATAAATATAATTGACAGCTTAAGTTAAATCTACAATTGATTCTTGTTTTTTTAATGTGTGTATTGATATTTGATCTATGATATGCATTGTAATATATAATACTAGTGTTGATACAATAATCTCATATCCGTAGAATACAGTAACATTGGATACTTTTATTGTCAAATCTTTTCGACATATTCTTGTTAAATATTGCATTCTCAACTAATGTACGTATAAATCTCTCCTAAACATGGCTTTACATGCCGTTAAGTATTTATCCCTACATAATAATCCTGCTGCACTCTGCCAAAGATCACGATATTGATTTTATATCTATTTAATATAATCGCAATTTTTTAATACATTTATTTAATACATTATCGCATTTGCAAAATTCTTGTCGTTTTAAACGCAATAATATATATTTGTTTATGCACGATTATTTTTCTGCACTTTTGGGACTTATCGAAGAACAAGTTCATCTTGTATATTTAATAAAGGATCAAGACGAATCGATCAAAATTTGTAGATAAGCGATCAGTATTCGTCGTACTGACAAATCGATCGTACAACATCGTTCGTCGTGATGATTCATTTTGCATACGAGCAAACCTTGTCATCGATCTTAAAATTCTTTGACAACATTATCCTGCATCGCATGATGTAAAAAAGGTGAAGTGACATCGTATTTTTCAGAATCTTGTATTGTCTGGCATTTTAACGAAATATGCGATCTTATCCTCAGCTACTCTGTAATTGTGAATCCATCTTGAGCCCTTCCTTAGGCTTCCGTCGATACCGTCCCTCCAGACTCCAGCCGGCAGATATACCTCCCTCTGCCTACTACCGGAATAAAGCACTGGCGCCACGATCAACTCTTCGCCTACGGAAAATTCATCGACCACTACGTGGCACGCCGGATCGGCCGGATCCAGCATCCAGAGTGGTCTGATAATAGGTAGACCAGTGTCCAGAGTCTCATTCGCGTATTTTTTCAGTAATGGCGTAACCGTTTTCTGCCGCAAAGTAGTTAGTCTCTTGGCGATTTCCAGGACCGACTCATCTGAGTACTTGCTTGGCAGATAAGTGAAGCGGATCACGGGTAAAAAGGTGGACAGCTGCAGCCAGCGGATGTAGAGTTCCTTATCCGGCAGATCTACTTCGTAGTCATTATCTGGATTGTTGTCTGACATCGGGAGTGCCACATCGCCGCCTACCGCTCCTGGCATAATGAACGGATAACCGATCATGCCGTAACTGAGAACGGTGGGAATGACGGTCGTGATGGCCTTCCAGGACGACGGGAAGGGAGGCAGAGACACGAAGACAGGTGCCCGTGGTCTGGAAATAGCGCTTGAAACGCCGATTACGGGTATGGTACCTAATATCGAACGGGTAAAGATGGTCTTGTAATGGTCAGGATTGGTGAGAGGCTGCTCGCATTTGTAGTAATGCGGCATATCCTGGGCAGTGCCCAGATCGAGGTAGAACGAGTCGACATGGTATTTCATGATAAGGCTCTCGAGCTTAGTCTGCAGCCACGGTAAGGTCTTGTTGTTTGTAATGTCGAGCACGCCGGCGCTGTTACTTTGCTTGTACCTGAAATTAAATATAAATCTTTTTTAAAATTTTCTCACGGCCAGATTATAAAATATGACATGATAAAAAAATATATATAATAATTTTTGTAAATAAATTCTTGATTAACAACCTTGTCAACGCTGGAATCCTAGGATCGCTTCCTCTCTCGGAGATCAGTAATCTATTAGCGACAGCATCCTTGAAGTTGATGGATTCTGTAGAGATAAACGGCTGGATGCTGAAGACTATTCTAAATCCTCTGCGATGAATAATATTGATAGTTTCCTCCATAGAAGGAAATCGTTCCTCGTCTAAGACAAAATCACCTGGATTGGGCTGCCATTCCTCACTCAACAGGACATGCCCTTGACGAAGGAAGCCCAGCGCGATCACATCTTCTGTATAGTTGTAAATGGCCGCCTCGTTGATGGGCGAGATTTGCCAAACTGGTTCGGACAACAGAGAATGAACGGCGTGCAGTTCATCGGGTTTCAAACCGTCCCACAGAGACTTCTCCGCCATCGAGGAGTGCAAACTCTTCATGTTGTCGGTCGCGCAGATAGTGTAGTTAAGCTGAGGTAGCGGCGTCAAATGATTAATATAAGCAAAGGCGTCATGTTTTGCCTGAAGGCAAAAGTCGTTGGTACGATTAGCGTTGATTGAGACATAAAGCGGTGTTTCGGGATCCACCAAGATTGTAGCACCCTTTGAATTTAGGAAGTATCTCTTCAGAACGTTGCCAAACGGATGTTTCCTCACGTCGCCCGTGATAAACGGGCTCAGTTCTAGGCGGCCGCGTTCCAGAGGATACACCATGTTCTGTATCTGTCCGGCGCCATACCAATGGCCTCTCTTCGAAGACCAGTCGAAGCAGTCCTTGGGATTGTAGTAAGGACTTAGACTTTGCCAGGTGACGTGGTAGCAGTACATACCCTCGCGTTTCGTGTGCGCGAGGTAAAGCCGCGTTTGCTGTAGCCACTCAAGGCAGACCGAGTCTTGTCTTTGATGATGAGGAAGGCAAGGATACACCCCTGTGTTTGGTGGAATACCCTCACCAAGCCGAGCAGCAATGATCTCCGCTCCGGTACTGCTGTAGACTCTCATCACTCTTTCGTTTTTATTGAATCTGAAAAGAAAATCGATATAAATAATTATTAGAGAGAAATCTTTCTTGAACTTCGTAAGAAATAATGAAGGAAATTAAAGGAAATTATATTTCCTTTAATTTCCTTTAATTATTTCCTTTAATTATTTATAATCATATTTATCAAGCTCTATGTACAGTGATAAAGAAAAATTTATTGTGTAAAATATTGAATAATCGGTGCTGAGATCTCCCTCCCACGACTCTAAGATAATGTAGCCCCTGAAAAGTTAAGCGTGCACGTTGGATTACCAATTGAATACGCATTTTGAGACTGGCACGAGATCAGCACGATAAACGAGCCTTAATGTATTCCATTAAGCGCTTCCTGGCAGAGGCAAACGACCGAAAGTTATTTCAGAGTAGACGACAAGCGATGCCGCCGACTATCCAAATATCACTTCTTCAATAATGCGCTAATACATATAATTTTAATGTGTAATATTTCATCGATCACAATGGATGCTCACCTAAATTTCTCAAAATAAGCTCGTTGTAGGACATGCTGAGTGTAATAAATGTGAGCGAAGCCCACAAGGAAAACGATGCAGAGGAACAAGATACCAACAAATGCTTTAAGCCTGTAGAAAAATGATTTTACAAAATTATTAAATGCCTTTAAACAATCATTATGATACGAATAATTGATGTACAGTTCTTATTAAAAATTTCAATATATCTATTATTTAAATTTTATAAGACTTCGATCTTTCGACATGATAAATAATTATGCGACTTTCGGTCGCTTTACCTATAATCAGCATTCTGACGTCTTGCACTGCTGCGCAATGCTTGTGGTAAAGATAACTGCAATTTCTCCTTTAAAAGACTGCTGATGCTATTCACGCTGGTTATTGTGGAAGTCGCGCTTTGTACACCCGAAAGTTCCGTAGTGTCGTTCGCCATTTTTTCATTGACCGAGGATGATACGATTCTGCCTTTCCTTCGCGGTGGAGCTTGCAGTGGCACTCTGCAAAAGAAAATTTCAAGTTCATCATTACTTATTCGACACAATCTAAAAGTAATATAACATCAATGTTACAATTTTGCATTCAACAATACAAACGTAATACGACATACGTTGTTACGTAGTTACATTATTGAGTACAAAATTATAACATTAGGTTTGTTCACGTTGCTTGAAATCCCTAAAAACTTTTATATTTATAATGGGATAAATATAATATATTCAGACGTGGAAAATAAAGAAAGTGAAGAACTGAACGCAAAAAGTTCATGCAACGCGAACAGATCTATCGATGTTATGTTACTTTTAGTTGGTATCGACTGGGTGACATAAACGATTACATATAAAGATATAGACGATCTAACTTACTCTTGTATCAGAATTCTATTTATAATTTTGCTACATAATACAAAGAATATCGAGGAATCAAAATATATAGGTATAAAAATGCATAAATACACGGATATTAAAATACACAGCGTAATATTATAAATAGAATTCTATCTTGGAATCTGACGCAAAAATTACAGATTGACTAAAGTGGGCTTAAATAAATAAACAATGAATTTCTTTATTTCAGATTTTTCGAAAGATATCGATATATATCATTGTACCTTTGCAATGATACAGCGCTACCAATATCGTATCTGGGGATCATTTTGCCGTCTTAGCAGATATTAATATTTTAATTGATAGATTAATAAACTGATATTGTGTGTGTGTAATAAATAATTGAATTATTGAACTGATATCTTCGCTAATGTTTTAATTGATTTTAAATTTATATTTTATATAATCTTTGAACTACGTCATTTTTTTAATACAAAAACCACAATTACAAACATAATATGTTTAAATACTAAATATACACTCATATATTTGACGCAAAAAGTCCGAAAAATAGTAGAAAATTTTGAACAATTATATGTATACGAAAAAGCGAGGAAACTGTAATTGCGTTCGAGCGGCGACTGTTAACCGAAACCAACGATTACGGGAGCCAACTCTTATAGTGCGATAACCCTGAAGCGATATGAAGGAAGGTCGGACCTGACGATGGTGATGCTTACGATGACCGTGAATACGGTCAGATAGGTACGCTTGTTTTATCTGCCCAGTCAGAAGGCGACCGCAAGTGAGAACGATAAACAGTACCTCGTGTATGCGTCTAGTGGGGTGTTACAATGCAAATTGCGCATTTAGAGCGCATATCACCGAGAGAAAATTGCAGGCGAAATATCCGTCTCCTGCGAGTAAGCTGCACAGAGCTATTCGGTTTCTCCGATCTCAAACTCGGTGATAGCGTTTTTAGATTTATTAAGCGGTTGAAACGGGTTAACACAGGTGCGAACCAGATCATTATTGGAAAGGCAAACATAGCAGCATGTAATATGTTGTGCTACGACATTATCATTCGTCGACTCAAGACTTGAAAGTTGATAGAAAAGCATCACTTGGATTATATACATGATGAACTGCACACATACATCTGTGAATATAATCTACTGAAGCCAACTAATCGCTAACAAAACTTTAATTATCGTTAAACAAATTGAAATTCTAATACTAAATTAATCGGAATCATATGGCATTATCTCCGATACAAGTTTATAAATCATAAATTAATGAAAATCATAAACGCGCTGAGCCGGTTTTTAACTTTATTCTTTTTCTCCAATTCGTCTCTTAATCTTAATCAATCCGAATTTAACACTCACTTAGCCAATTCTTCATCATTTGCTTCCTCTTCGGTTTCGGATCCCAGAGGACTTCCATTCGGGGTAGAGCCACTGTTACTGAAAGTCACGCTGCTGCTGGTCTCGCTTTCGTCTCTCGTAAATTTCGAAGCGGCACCCTGAAACATCACAATCCGAAATTGCAGGTGTAAATAAGCATAACTGACCCACGTCAACACCTGTGCGATAAAACAAATCAAATAGTCGATTAATTGTCGATTAAGGCTATAAATTATCTTCGTCGATCACGTCATTGCTCATCTGCGTCTTTCCACATGGATCATTAAAGCATTGAGCAACGATGCACTTCGATTTACGCGTGTAGCGTTCATGTTATTTTTTATTGACATTCGATCCGTGAAGAAATACCACCGATAAGACATCACTACTATTAATATTTTATTGAATCTTATATTTATCTAGATTTATGCTACTTGTTTTTAACGTTCTCTTTTCAAATGAATACTGAAAACTTGCAAACAAAATATGTGAAATATTCGAAACAATATTGCTAAGCGTATGAATTGCGATAAATAATTAAATACAACGACCGTATTCAGAAATGTATTCTTTATCAGCAATGTTTACTAGACATCGTATATCAAGTGGAAAATTTAGCAAACAAGAAATGGAATATTTTAGGCAGTATCACTCAGTACCGTCTCTTTGTAGCAAAACGTCACTCAAGGACATTTTTCGATCTTCGTTTTAAAAATATTAACGTTACGCTAATTACATAGCATGGTAATGTTCTTTGAATACAAGTATTCATACGTTACGCAGTTCGATTAAAAATTGCTGATACATTGCCTTGATGATCGATACCATACGTCGCGTGATTATATACCTTACCGAAAGTTTGTGTTTCTTCTCAAATATCTGTGATGTTAAACTAAAAAAATCTTATGAATATGAAAGATTTTTACCTTTTCATCTGCATTTATTTAAACCTTGCGTATTTAAAATAAAAGATGTATAAACCTCAAAAAGAAAAAGAAAGGACAAAGAGAATGCAAAAATTATAAAAAATACAGTTTAAACAGTTGAACCTAAAGTAACATCGCGAAACATTGTTATCGTTCATGTCGAGTAAACTACTTGTTTTTTTACGAAGTAGAATATTGCAGAGTAACTCGCAAACGATAAACGTTATGTAACACGTATATTGTTGAAAAATCTTTTGTTTTTTTCTAAAGTGACACACGTGAATGAATATTGTAATAGATGATTAATAGAAAGAAACGTTAGATTTGTCGGAAACCGTAAAAGAAGATTATCGTTAAAAATCATAAAAGAAGACTATATTTTATCATTTTTAATATACAAGATTCGTATATAATGTTTGTCTAAAGTTATTTTTCTTTAATTTACTGCGATATTTATTAAATCAATAAAATTTTTGAAATTCTTTGACCAGTATTCATAGTCGGTTTTCTTACATTTAAAATCATTTTACAATTAGATACAATCTTAAAATGTTATAAATCAATGTTATAAATCAGGGAATACAGGGCGGTATTCATAGTGTTCTTATCTTAAGATCGTCTTAAATAATATCTTAAGATGCTAATTATATATACGGTTCTCTGCTTGGTTCATGACGTCTTAAATTGTCTTAAAATTATACTTAAGACAATTTTTAAATATAAGAAATGAATGAATACCGGCCACGGAGCCATATTAACATCTTAAGACAATTTTAAGTAAGACTAATATCTTACTTAAGACTGGCTTAAAATAAGGATATGGACTACGAATATCGGCCATTCTGCAAATTGTTTTTAATCCCACCTCCTGAATGACATTTAATTTGCTTTTTTTAGCAACAGCCAAGGCATTGTCCAAGGAATATATCAAACTGTGTCTGTGATCCTTGACGTTTGTCTTGTGCCACTCATACCGATCCATAGCACTTATTGGCTTTTTTCTCCGTTTTTTCTTGCGGTATTCAATATAATGTAAAACACTTAACTCGATAATAAAGTTAACACAATTATAAATAACGATCCCCGATTATATATAACAATCACCGATTATATATAACAATCACGAATTATTATTATTAAGAGAGCTTTCAACTATAACTCAGAAGTACAGATCGAATTATTTCCTTAGTGAAAAATCGTGGCATATTAATCACTTAAAATTAAGTTGATCATGGAGCTTCTTTTCACAAATGCGCAAAAATGAAGAGAAGCAATACAATATTGTCTTCGTTATTAGAGGAACTGATACTGATTAGTTAGTGAATGAGAAATATGCGGAATGTGTTATTGTTTGACTTTTGGCACCTTTTTCAAGCGAGCGTGTACAAAAGGCCATTGCACGTAACAATTTCAATCGTAAGACTATAAAAAGTAATAAATTGATTGGCTATCGCGTTGGGGGGCAAATTATAGGTCACGTGATTGTTTTCCCGTTGCTCGATAATAAAGTTTGCAATCTTTCGACGGAACGAAATCTTGCGACTATGATCACTGCTTTGAGGTTATAACGTTTCACTTGTGATTACAGTCACGTGACTCGTCACTTGCCTCGACGTGTAGTAGCCATTCAATTTATCGCTTTTTATAGTTTTACGATTACGACTAAAAATTTTACGTGCAATGGCTTTAGCTCTTTTTTCTTTTGACATATAAGGAATTCCTGCCTGCACTATACGTAACAGAAACGTGCTATTTTGATCGCAAAGTCGCAGAAAATATGTATCGTCTCTCGCACGTCGCATAGACGTGCATAGAGAATATAATGTTATAGTTGGCAAAATTGATTCTCGAAGAATCTATGGCGGTGTTTAGCGCGGATAAATATAGGAGTTAGATTGGATTGAGTATACAAACGACAGTGTACAATTAAAAAGTAATTGTTTTTTATTCTTTTATAATTATAATTTTTGTGTATAGTTTCTCTACGCATAATATTCTCTTTTTCCGCTATTTTCAAACTGAATAATACTAATCGATAGAAAATTTGTTGAGGATCCTAACCCTACTTGCTACATTAACGGTTTCCAATATTTCGACATCAAAGACTTCATATATGACATGATCATAGATGAAGCCTATTGGATAAAATATCAGGTTAAGCCTAACCATAAGTTAACTTAACCAGATAATGAAAAACGATAATGAAAAACCGGGTCTTAGGTCGTAAATAGGTGCTCAACACGTTGCATAAAGTCACAAATATTCGTCACTGCGACGTTGCTGTCACCAAAAATTTGACTGTTAGTCACGTGTCAACAACGTGTCTATTATGTTCGAGAAGTCTCTGCGACGTAACGTGTGACGAGTTGGCACGTCATAGAGACGTATTTGTCACGTATTGTGCAGGCAGGGATATTTCTGTCGTCACTATATTTTACGTCGTCCTCTTCTAATATTTACAGTGTCGATTCTATCAAGTCCGATTTGTCAAGTTTTCTCCCTCCAACAGGTGATAAGCGCATAGAGGAAACTCACGAAATTGGAACCAGCAGCGGCGTACGTGCAAACATTTTCGAAAGTGCCGACGCGATGCGGGATATTAATAGCGATGTCAAAATAAAATACATAATAAACAAATGTGAAGTCGAATGGAAAGAAACCGCTGACGAATTTATTTATTTATTAAAACAAATATGGAGGTAATTGAAAACCTTGACAAAAAATTATCTGGAAGAGAAATAGCGGAGGCTTATGATATAACAGAATCAGCTGTCAGTAAAATTAAAAAAGGAAAGGAAAGAATTGGACAATTTTCAACATCAGCAATCGAAGTGGCTTTGCAAAAACATTCCTTCAAAAGGGCAACGAATGAAATTTTAGAGGAATAAAGGTGCAGCCATAATAAAAGGAATAAGGAATTAGGAATAAGGAATAAAGATTTTAACCTATCAGATATCGGATACACCGGAATATACGGTTTCTGATAGGTTGGAATTTTTATTCCTTATTCCTGATTCCTTATTCCTTCTATTGTGGCCGCACCATAAGTATTTGTAGAGCACTAGAAACGTAGGTATTCGCGTCCACCATTTTTACTCCTTTCCCCACTGTTTGTTCTCTCTTCAACTTTCTCTCTTCAATCTTCTTAGTTTAGCGGCGGAATGGAGAGAGTAAGGAATTGAGAAAAGGAGCAAGAGAATGAGAAAAGGAGTAAATGGCGGATGCGAATACTCACGTTTATAGTGCCTTAGTATTTGAAGGAAGAAGCGCTAAAAACTCATGCTATAGTACTGAGTGCGCTCACGTGACTGTCGCTGCACGACACGCGGTTGGTTACCAATTTTGTCAAGTTCCAGCCTATTATCATCAACTTGACAGAATCGGCAATACTGTACATAAACTTATATGGGACATCAAAATTCCTCGATATGTTTTAATGATAGATTCCTCGGATTAATGACACACATATATAACATATGAATTTTCACAAAATAAAGATTATTGCAATAGTAATTATATATTGTCGCTTTATTAATATAAATCAACTTACATTTTGTCTGTCTATTCGAAGATCGTCCATTTCGTTGAGTTTGCTGGGCATGGATATGCTTGTCTTTCTTATATTCGTAGTGCGTAGTGGTGTCACTTCCGGTAATACTTTCACCGTCGTCGTCTCGTTGGAGGTTTCTTGATTATTCTCTTTCTTGGCTGCATTAACAATGTTGGCATTATCGCTCGGTTTGCCTGGAGAATCTGAAAGCCAATCGAGAAGAATAATTGAATAAAAATTACAAATGCTTAAGCACGTCTTAAAGCATATCGTAATAATTAATTTTGCGGAAATAATACATTAAACAATTAATAGTATAATCTTTTTTACATAATTCAAAGCCGTTATCGCTGAATAAATATTCGTACAATATTAGCATTAAAAACGAATACATCTACACAAGTAGTATGTTCTTATATGCTAACTTATCGCAGAGCAAACTCTCGTTAAGAAAACATGGCGATAATTATAGTAGCGGCGCCGATCGGAGATTAAAAAGATCACTGCAGGAATAATTTAAAAAAGTTAGTGGTTTTACCATGACAGTGGCAGAACAAATAAATATCGAAGAGCTTGATATAACCTTTCATAATATTCGCAAACATAAATGACACAAATAGGAAAATTATATTGATTGTATGCCAATCAATCAAATCTTTTTCTTAAACGTAAACGAGTACAATAGAAATAATCGTAAAAAGTGTAGCTTGTGTGCCAGATAAAAATGTGTGACTGTCCGCAAAAGCAATACGACAAAACTATTGAGAAAATCGGTCCAGAAACTGTAACTCTTTTTTCGAAGTGTCCTACACCGTATCGTCCTGGAAAAGATATCCTTGAACATACAATTCCCAGTGGATCTGATCGGATGCCAATCGATTCCGTGCAATCCAGTAGCAGTGATACGATGTACGATTCTACGAAAGTAGAATCTACTTTGTCAATAGATACACAATCTTCCAGTGAATCAAGCAGAATAGTAGGTCATCAATTAGAAATGTCTTCGATAAATAGAAACGCAATAAAATTATTTTTAAAGATTATTTGTCATAAACAAATAATGGATATCCTTTATCAGTTGCTTGATAATTGCAGTATAAATTTGTTTGTCCCACAAAATATGATTATTCTGATGAAGAGAGTTTTAAATTGTCACCGGTCTGTATTGAGACAAGCAGAATTAAGGAGACCGTTGAAGAGGAACCAGAAATCGAATATACATTGGCCATAATAAAACCGGAAGCAGTGATTTATAGAAAGGAAATCGAGAATCAAATATATGAGGAGGGATTTGAGATTTGTCAGACTCGTTGGCTGCAACTGACACCTGAACAAGCTGCAGAGTTTTACAACAATCGCTTCGGCGAATTAAGTTTTCCTAATCTGGTGGCATATATGTCCTCAGGATCTATTATAGTATTCGTATTAGCAAAACAGAATGCTGTTGAAGAATGGAAAAGGATTGTAGGACCGACCACGGTTGGCCATATTTTCATATTTTATACGTATTAGAATTTTCAAATGATACTTGAAAGATCAATTCCTTTTGATTTATTTTAAAAATCGTTTCAGGTAACAGAAGCGCGTTTGTATTTTCCTGACAGCATTCGAGCGAGATACGGTCGCAAGGGAGATAACTTAAAGAATGCTATCCATGGCAGCTGCAATCGCGAACAGGCCGAGAAAGAAATCCATTTTTTCTTTCCTAGATGTAAAATATTATTTTCTGTTTTATTTTTCTGTAATACTTAATTTCTTAAATGTTTAGCGTCAATTAATTATTTGGATATTAAACTAGAAATCTTTTTTTATTTTTCTTCTTAACTTGTTTTCAGTCATAACTGAACCTGTGCTAAGAGTCGAGATGGCCGAAGATTTTTTATGGGAAACTATTAACCCGGTTCTTGTCGAAGGTTTGACAATGGTAAAGTAATTTTTGTCGGCAAAAATTTACGATATATTTTGCAGATAATTTTTTCAGTTCAATATCCTACGATTCATTCTAAATAAATCACCCTTTACAGTGTTGCAAGCAAAAACCGGCCGATCCTGTATTGTGGTTAGCGCACTGGTTGATCCTAAACAACCCTAACAAGCCTAAATTACCGGAAGATCTCGCTTTAATTCCGACATAATTTTCTCTGAATCATTTCATATCGCAGACCTGTTCTACACTTTAACGCACGACACCCGCAGTCTTACCCACTAGATCTATCTCCTTCGAAGTTTCTTGACGACGACATGATGGCATCCTTTTTATTCTCTTCTCCGCTGCGGCTTGTGGATTGTATCTTGAAACATAAAAAAAAGAGATATTACACTGCCTTGTAAAATAAAATTTGCATTAATTCGTATTACTTTCATTTTTCCTTCGCCTTTCACTTATAATTGGATTTAAAAGAATACCCAATGAGAAATGATAATGAGATCGATGTCGAATCGATGTCGATTTGATGTCGATTCCACCATTATCGTTTTTCACTGGGTATCGTATATTCATAAAAGTTATTTAATATTATTCCGCAATTTTGAAGATATTAATGTTTCTTCTGTTTTATTTTTAATTTATTCTAATTCATTTTCCTCGGTTTAGTCAGAACAGTGAGAGAATACAGTGAAGATGTGACATTAAAGTGTTAAAGGAATATTGGATATTTGTAAAAGTTATTTAATATATTATTCCACATTATTTTTTTTTCGAAGATATTAGAGATTCTTATGTTTATTTTATTTTTTATTTATTTTATCTCATCTATCTAGGTTTAATTAGAACAGTAAGAGAGCGAAGACGTGGTATTAGAATGATACTATTAGTATAGCGCATATTATTTTCAGTAATTACCTGGATTCCACCAAATGCTGAACGATGTCGACAATCGCTGGGTTCTCTCCGCTTATCCGAGAATAGTCCAGTTCGTCATTTGCATTTTTCTCGTCTTTACCGACTTTCACACCACGATCCGTTTGCCGCGAAGAGTTCTCTTGTCTCTTCTCCGCATTCACTTCGCTTGTGCGATTTTGTTTCGCGGTCGGTCGCCGTTCGCGTCGTTCGGGCCTCGAATTATCGTTCGCACTCTGATTTTTCATCAACACTCGCGGTGCATCATCGACATCCCGTCCGTTCTCACATCGCACTCCATTCCGCTTCGGCTTCGCTCCGTCGATCTCGAAACGCACTCGTACCGTCGCTGTACCATCCACATCATCGAAACCGCCGCGGTTAATTTCCTGCGGAGCCTTGATTAATTCATTGTCGACCTCGCCCGCCTCGTCGTCGTGCCTTGTTTCGCCGGTTCTCTGTCTGCTACCTCGTAATCTTTCCTTAGGTGGATTCGGCGATGAAGAATCGTAAATCTTGTTGACGGGCGACCTTCAAAATACAACGAATCCCTTTATTAAATAATTAATATGTAATTATAACGGTGATTTTGATTTACGTCAATTAATCATTGACATTTTTTAAATCACGTTTGTAATTATTTCAAAAAATTTACTTAATTAATGAATATTAGTATGTAATAAATATTAATGTAATTAAAGATAGAATTTAGTAATGTGTAATTAAAGATAGAAAACTATAAAGTTGTTTAAAAATATACAAAATTTAAAAAAAGAAAGAGAAAAAAAAGATAATTGTTTGACTTAGAACTGTTAAGGTTTTTTTTTTTTAAGAAAACAATTATTTTATTCGTCGAAAAAGTTTTCATATTACAAAATTTCATTTCTACCGAGTGATAATAATTTATATATAAATTCAATTTTTTATTTATTATTTACATATTGATAAAAAATTGTAGATACCTTCCCGGTGAACACCAAGGATCCAACCAGATGGGATCGATTAACGTCGATTCCTCGGGTTTAACGAAGTTGACGTGATCGGTGGAACCAGTACCAGGTTTGTACCAGGGTGACGGTATTTTGAGAACCCTGCCTAAGGTCGACCACTCCTGATTGGTACTCTCGTCTTGATTAGAGGGTGACGGTAAGACAGACAGGGAGACGCCCCGTCGTTCGGCCAGTCCGATCGGATCAACACTGGCTACCTTCACGTCCCAAGGATTGACGATGGATAGCAGCACTTTCTGCGTCGTAGAACAGAGACGGGATGATGATCACAGAGATCTGGGAAGTGTGGGAGAGGCGGAACGCGAGAATGATGATCGCTGGAGCCGTCTGTATGAGTAGACTCGTTAAGTCTCGTTAAAGTTATCCGCGGTGGACGCGTTCTCTCTTTCTCTCTCTCTCTCTCTTTCTCTCTTTTTCTGTTTGCATCTGATTCCGATCGAGACAAGGCTGCCTCCCAATTATAAAAGCCCACTCGTGGGAAAGATACATTGACGTGAGAAATTCGAACATTATCTCGAGCAATTTTTTTCGCGGAAAAAAGATCTGATTCTTCTGGAGTAATTAATTATTAATTAATTCGAATTTTTCAGTGACTTGGTAGAGATATGGCAAGGTATATAAAGAATAAAACTATAAAGGATCCCGCATCAATTATATAGAAAGTATAGAGTCTCGGTGAAATGAGTTAATTTTTATATATATAATGTAATTTATAAAGTTGTAAACAGAGGATATTATAAACACAATTCAAAAACGGGTGTTTTCTATTTGGTGATGCAAGTCTTTCTGTCTTTGTTACTCTCTGAATATCAAGAAAGATGGAGTGGTGTTCATGTCGATTTGTGTCACTAAATGGAAAGTAGAGGAGAAGATAATATTATGGCCAGTGTATATATTGTGTTCTCCCTTAATATCTCCGCTATTATATAACGAATCTTAATGATAACTTATGGAATTATTTGTTCAGTAGCTCACCGTTATGCTATGTTACTAATATACTCATTATAATATACTATACCAAGCCAGCACTTATTATAATGAATTTTTACTGTCAAGTATTTCTTTGAGGTATATACATTTTAGCATTTATTTATATCTACTTCCTCATTTTTTTAAAACTTCAGCATATTATCACGCGAATATATATATATATATATTTTTTTGAGTATGTTGTTTGTTATTTAACATTTTATTTGACTGTATATATTTTGAGTTACGCAAATTTAAACAATAGCATTACATTTTGCTAATGTGGCCCTCTATGGGTATTGATTACTCACGATCTTTTTTTTGAGGTTTTCATATCAAAATAATTATTTGATAATCGATTGCAGCTCTACTGTTAATCTATAGTTTATATTACGTGTACTATTTTTAGTACTGAGATTTTTAGTACTGGGCATCTTATATGCAGAAGTTATGTGAATGTACATACATTTATTTGCATACATTCTAAAATGTATTACTTTTTTGTTAATTTTGTGACCAATACTGTTTTCTAAACAAAACTAATTTTTTAAGGCTTTTTTTATAGAAGGCCACATTATTATCCATGTTTTTCTTCAAGTCATTATGCAATGTTGCCACATTTTTATTATTAGTGTCCTAACTAATGAATATTTCGTAACTTTGAGTCCAGTATCGATTCAACATTTTAACGAATGTAATTCTATCTATATAGAAAGAAGCACTGCAGATAAAAACTTTACTAATTCAACAAATCTACGGTCGTTATATATATGTACGACAGTCAGTTTTTTTTATGTCGGAGCAAAGTTAACAGCTGAATAACATTAGCAATTCGTTAAACTATCAAATCTTCTTAGTTATAGATGTTGGAATTCGCGCAGTAAATTATAGCTTTCCTGTACCACTCAATCTATTTTTTTTCGTGCATTACATCGTTTTTGGGCTATATATTAAAGATGTAAAATTTGAACTCACAGAGCACCTTTGATTATTCAGAAACTATCCATTATTGAGTTTCGTATCTATGACATCTCTACATATTATGTGTGAAAACTAATTCATTTCAGCAAGATCCAATTTTCTATTTAATTATTGCGGAATCTTTTGTCTATATAAAGATAATTTTCCCGAGTAAGACATAATGTAGTATTCCTCATTGATGATAACTTCCAACCGATTCATTCAATCGAATCGATGGGTCATTTTTAGTGTCCATAAGTTTGAGTCAATGATGGCACGTGCTCATCCTAGAGCGTAATAACTGTAATAGCATATCAGCTTTTTGCTATTGAACGTGAATCATTCGTCTGAAACACGAGCTGAAACATAATTGTAACTCCTCAAACAAATTTAACGCTTTTAGTTATCGGCATTTACCGATTTGCCGAATAGACTAGACAGATGAATCACGTGGAACGGTTTGACAGTCTGATTTGTTTCTGCTAACTTCATTACGTAATGACGCGTAAATCTATAACAAGTGATTGTTATGTCATGACTAATAAGAAGAGCTGGTTAAGGCATGAATATTATCCATCAGAGCGTTACGGAACAGAAAAGTCTCTGTAGCGTCAATTTCCTTTGATGCGAATTCATGCATACTCAAATTGTTGTAATTCGCTTCGAGTTCCGTGCGTAAAACTATTTTTTTCAAAGCGGACATTTAAAACTAATATTATCTTAATACAAATATGAGAGAATGATGTATTTTATGACATGTATTCCATTTTCCTCAATTATCAATTCCATTTTCCTCAATTATCAATGAGTTCTTAATCAGATACTTGTTCTTGTTACTACAGCATATTAAAACGATGATGAAACTGATGCGTCGATGATTTCAGTAAAATACTGGAATTGTGTCCGAAGAATTGTAATTAATTTCTAAAGAATTCAGGTTAGTATGTAAGCAAATAATGCAGCATTTTGCAAACGACGAAGTTATTATCAAGTGTATTGATAAATTATTTGTCAAGTCATATTTGTTTTGTACCTTTCTTTATGATAAGAAAGTAATACATGTTTAGAATTTGAAGATAAACATAAAAAAACATCTTTAAATGAAAAAAAGAATTTGAGAGTTGACATTAAACGAAATATTGAAAATAAAGTAATTTATTATTGTATAAAGTTTCTATTATTATAATTGTTTTTTAATAACAGAATGAGTATAAAAATTGTAATAAGACGAATGTTAAATAATCAAATAAAACGGATTATGACAATTATATAATTATATAAAACAGTTAATCTATTCATTGAGAGTTATATCGGTCAGGTTATTATATTGCTTTATATCGATCTCGTAATAATTGAATTTAATGGCAACTTAATATTAGCTAGGACGTATCAATATAATTTAATATTGTGCCTGTCAATTTTTTTCAGCTGTTATCTTGATAAACGTCATCGATAAGGGTGATCTTTTCGAATCAAAAAAGATTTTAATCTTTTATTAGCATTCTGTATTTGTTAAGATAATAGCCTATATACGAGCAAATATTTTAATATTTATCTTTGACTTATTATAATTTTATAAATTTTATATATTTTTGTGATTAAATTCAAATGAAATTCAATCGTTAACTATATAGAGATATAAAGAAGATTTACCGCGGAAGAATTATAAAAATTATGATAAAATGTAAACTTTTTAAAATACAAGAAAAGCTGTCATTAATTATACAGAATATAATTACATGAGTTATTATAACAGTGTAGAAAAAACGTTCTTAAATTTTCTGCATTATAAAGTTAAAAAGTAAAAAAGTAACTTTAATATTTTAAATTTTAATATTTTAAAATAGAATTAATCTTCTACATTTTAATATGTAAAAAAAAATTAAAGAAATAATTTGCATTTTAATGTTTAAAATATCAATTTAATTTTTTAAGGAATTTCATTCGTACATAAAATTCGACTTAAACTGCAGCTACCTTTTCACCACCTGTCTTCTTCCTTTTTCTTTTAATACGATCCATTTTTTCAGGCTATGACAATCTTTTTAGCTATTCTTAGTGTCAAGCCGGCGATTGGATTAAATTCGCGATCACCGATAAACGATTTCTCTACGAAGGAGTTCCACCTTGCGAGGCAGGTGGACTTAAACTGATCTGTCGTTCCATATATCGGCGGCCACTTAGCGATATCTTCTCAGACCGTCTTGCATGTATCAGTATCGTATACGAGGTCGTGTGCACACGCAAGAGCCTGTATACACCAGTTACAAAGGTATATTACGTAGAATGTGTACACCACTTTGTACACTAGCGCACGAACATGATAATCTTGCGAATACACGACCAGTTTCGAGTTTGTTTGTACTTACGTTAGTTTATGACCGGGGACTTTAATCCGAGATAGTATTGCAGTAATTATAATGAGGGACGTCATGCGTTATTCACCTTTACTGGGCTACATGGCTGTATTCTGCTGAAATATTTCCGACGTGAATTTTAATTCCTGCCGTGGCATTTGTGATGCTTTTATATGGAAGCCTATTGTCAATTTGCCCGCAAATCAAAATTGTTTGATTTTATGTCTGGGAATTGTATGCGTTATTTTATTCATGATATGCGTAATTATAGTAATAGTATAGGATACATAATTAAAAGAGACATAAACAAAAATCCTATTTTTTCTGTTTTTATTATATGTTTTTGGGAATATGAATAAAATGAGGAAAAAACGACAGTGGTTTTATTGAGAACTCTTTACTTTGCGATGAGCATTTTCAAGATTCTACCTGGATGATTCTCCTTTTCTATAGGCGCTGAAAAAGCAATAACGTTATTCTTGATGTCCTCTATTATTTGCTTATGTGAGTGTGCTTTACGTCATCAGATATATTTAAAATTACTCTTGTTACATAATAACAATTGTATCGCACAGATTGTTCTACTATCAGGTTATTTTATCTATGATATATGCGTAACTATTATAATAGTAGGTAAGAAACGTCATTAAAAAAGGCTGAAATAATTATTTCTTCTGTTTTTATTATATGCTTCTCAATAAAATGGCTCATAAAGAAATCGAATAATACCTCTTTCGCTAATTCGAAATACTATAGTTTTACAGCAAATGTTTCGCGAACTGATGTTATACGGTAAATTGGAGCATTTGTTATTACGTACTATGTGGTTATACAGAATATTTTAATTAACGCCTAAAGAGTTAACCGTAATGATATGGTGTTGTAATAATAATTAAATTATATTACCTAATTCGCCAGTCTGTGTTTGACAGGCTCGTTAACACGCTAATTAACGAGATAATAAACTATTTAACAAATTAGTTAATTTCCTAGTGAGAGATATTTCGCAAAAGCGACTAAAACAAAGTAAGCAAAACTTTTATCGAACAGCTTCTCGAAATGAAAGACAATTTTCGTTCAACTTACATCACTAAAGTTGCAATAAGGCAATAACCGAATCGTAATAAAAATACTGCAAGATAAAGATAATTGTACAAAACTGTACAAAATATCATTAATTTGACTATTTTCAGATCTTTCGCATCAGAAGTCACAAATTCAACTTGGACGTATCCCTGCGATTACTCCGATTTTCTCGAAAAATACTTACTACCAATTAACTCTACCAATTAACACACACGCAGGTCTTTTTATAAATATTATTGCCATTCTTCAAACACGTGGCTGCTCCGTGATGCCACAGACTTTCTCTTCCGATCCGAAAATTATTCGTCCGATTACTTCACCGATCAATAAAATATAAGAAAGGTCTCGATGTGTACTTCGAGAGAATCTTTCTGCTGTCGGTAATATAATAACCAATGAGACCTTCGAGTTTCTCGTATTTCAGCGATATCGTTTGATCAAAAAGATCAGAAACATATATCGTGCGGAAGTATTATTTAGATACATTATTCAACAGAATTGCGTAATTAACTAATTCTTTCGTTTGCGGATGCTAAATTATATAAACGTTAGATAATTACCCGAAGGTTCATTCAAGGTTTATTTATCATCAATAATAACATTTTCGGACGTACGTATTGCTAATTCACAGATTTTGCACAGTTCCTTCGAAAAACATTTATCTCCCCCCCCCCCTCTCTCTCTCTTTCTATTGATAAAACAATAGAAACCATTATCGTCTTGTTCACTCGACCGAATAGCTAGGTGCACGCGCGAATATATCACATCGTATGTTGATCGATTCGTATGTGTGTTCACTCGGATACTCGCGCGTTCGATTATATAATTACGCTATATTATGTTCTATATTTCTATTATCATTAACAGTATCATAACTATGCTCTGTCGCAAGCATATATATATATATTTTTTTCTCTCATTTGGATTTTACGTTGCCACATACATTTCCCATTCATCGCATGCGCTCGATACTCCATGAATAAAGTTTAAAAACATTAACGATAATAATATATTTATCTTTCTATTTATTATCTGCTAAAACTGCTCGCAGTTAAGTAAGCGACATGTTTAGAACGAGTGGATTTAAGCACTGCGAGAAGGCAGGATGCATACGTAGGAACGGAAAAAAATAACAAAAGAAGAGAGAAAACGACTGATCATGAGGATATAATATGCAAGTGAGAACTCGCATATATTCGCTTTCTATAAGTGGATATCTATGCCAAAACGCGTATTACGGCCTTTCGCAAAATCCCGCTACACGTAGAGTAGTGCTAACATTATTTTTATGTTTTTTCTTACTTGCTGTTATTATAATTAATATCTCATTATTATTATTATCAATATCTCTTTTAACATTATTAATGAGTATTGTTATTCTTTCTTCATATAAGATAGTAGAGGAAAACACGCGACCTTATTACATTATTGTTCCAAGTTTTTACGTTTCTCTTTCTTTTTTACTAAATTCCGTACATGCTTATATAATCGGAGATGAGCATTAATGCTGCATTTTCTATTGTACAGTATCTTTATAAATTCATTAAAGGGAAGTAGCCCGGGATAGAATTTCTGAATCGAGAACATCGATTTAAAAATAGTCCTCGATTGTTATTACAATTATTCTCCGGTTCACTTGCGATTCACTCTCACAATTTCGCGTAATAATCAGATCGTCATTTCGTTTTCAGCACAACACGACACCTAGTTATAATTAATCTTGCGATCAAGTAATTATTGATCTTATCAAAACGCACACACGCATACACACGTACACAACTAAGTTTCTTCTCAAAAAGTATATATTTTTAACGTTAATATGTACAGTTTGTTCTATTTTTTATCAACGCTAGTACGCTATACACACTAATGAATTAACAAAATGTGTAGAGGACTGATCGATAACATTATATATCGATTACGGGACATATGGTACCTGCCGTAGCCACACGTGTATTAGGAATTCGTTTGTTACACAGGATAGTTTAAAAAGAAGAAAAGAAACAAGAATTTTCGGTTCTGCTTATAATAAAGCCATTGATGCATATGATATGTTTCTATCTTTCCTGTTTTCTTAAACGTTTCAGATTTCTAGTGCTTCTCATTATACAAACTCTTAATTGCAAAAAATGAAACCTACCACAGCGATAAAATGGACGCGCTGTCGATATTATTGAGATTCTTCATAAACGTGCGAAAGCGGCGCCTTTCGTTTTAAAATATCCTGCGTAACGAATTGACAGATTATGATTGATTTATAAAATATTGCACATTAGAAAATGCACAGGGTATTATTTCTGTTCTTTAAACGCACGATCGATACGCAGATTCATTGAAAGAGAGTTTCGGGTCTGTTAGGCGAAGAAGGAGGAACGTTTTACATAAGACGATCGATTTTCTCGTTAGAAAACGAGTTGCGTGCTGTATACATAATAATTCATAGGCCAGAAGGATAGGTAGTTTCTCTAGGCGGATACGATCGTATCCCCGTAGTAATAGTCTATGTATCTATACACTAATGTAATTCTCTTATATGTTATCGCGTGCGCGATTTTTTTCATCGTAACGAAGGAGAAAACGGCACGTGTTTCATCGACAAAACAAAAGTCCCAGCTATATCGATGCATAAAAAAAAAAGATTTATTTTCTTGCATACTGAATTCAAGCTACATATTCATAGACCATTCTTATATTTAAGTTTAATTAATAATTACTGTCTTAAGTAATAATTAAGTTTTAAGATGTCACGAACTAATAAGAGGACCGTATTAGTATCTTAAGATATTACTTAAGACGATCTTGAAATAAGAATGGATTATGAATACCGTTCTATGTCAAGATTCCCTCACTAGATCATGGACGAGCGTGGCATCAATGATAAATCCAAGTTTATATTTTACATCACATTTCGTTCTCGTTCCAGATTACTTGCGAGCGTCGCAATAATCCATCGAATTTTGTTTCTCTAATAACAGCACTGTTTCACTGGGATGTATATGTATCTACATTCGCACACGTTTTATTTTTCCAATGATGACGGTGGGCTCTCTCGGTGTACAGCATTGGAAACGTTCGGCAAAGCTAACAGATGAAAAAATTTGATATGCTAAAGGTACTATGTTAACCATTTCTAAAGACTATCCTAATTCTAATAAGAAAAAATTTTGACTACGGAGAGATGAGTGCGAGATATCCCGTGAAAGGACTCTCAAAAGTTACACTGGATACCTCTTAGCGTCGTACGTTACGTCATTCCCCTGGGTCATCCCATTTCGCTTCTTCGGCTATTCGATCGAAGCAATCCGAGAGGAACGTATACTGCAAGTACAACATCACCAGGGTAATGAATCGAGTGGCAAGCTCGCGTGAAATTACACGTGTCACAGTCACAGATGTAATAGACTGCGCATTCCTATAAAGTTGTCACTATCGGTTTAGAAAAAGTAAGGAAATTGAAGAATATTTCTCTCACTCGTTCTCTCTCTCTCTCTCACTCTCTATTTTATATATACAAATTTTTTATTTTGCATTTCTTCTCTCTTATATATTTAAATCTTTTTCTTGTACAATATATTACTTTCTTTTAATTATTTGCTTATTTTTGTACATCATTTTTTTGCGATTTTTCACTTTGCTTTTATATTGTAAGTTTATTCTTAGAGGGTTTGCACTGAGATACCAATAAATGAACTATTCTATCTATCTTTTTCTTTTTAAGGTATCGAGTTGAAAAAAAATGCTGATAGAATTGAAAATAGATGTTAATATGTTTAATTCTTTTTAACTAATTCAGAAATCAAGATTAAGAATGCGCAGTCTATATCTGACATAGCTATGCTCGCAGTTGCGAATTGATTCGTGAAAAGATTATCAAGTACTTACGTAAGGAGTGAAGACCTTGAGCCAACGGGGTGGACGATTGTCCTGGCGCGTGTATTGGAAGCAGAATGCCATTCCATCCTCGTCCACTTCCCACCGGGTGATGGTGCTCCATTGAAATTCGACCACCTGTGACTCCAGGGTACCGTCTTCCTTCGCGGCATGCAACTTGAAGGTCGCCATGCCCACTGCTGGTACCACGTGGCCCTCTTTCCTTGAGTCGCACGCGCAATGTGGAAATACAATGTCGCCGTACCCACTGAGTTCTCTCGCTAATTTTAAATACTACGCAAACACAAAGATTTCACGTAAACGCAACGGTATTATTAATGTAAGATTTGTAAGCGATTTTCTTCATCCAGTACGAACCTCGTGCTTTCTCGATGCATCCTGTAGAGCTTTCAATTGATACAGCCTTTCTCCAGCAGTTATGTGACCTCTATTCACTTCGTCAATCGTCTGCCAAAATATCCAAGTCAATGCCTGTTCACTCAGAGGCCTATTTACAGTGAAAAGCCACCTCCTTATCGCCAAACATGTTGCGCTGGCAGTCGAATAATTTTGAATGTACAAAGTATGCGGGTGTTCGTGAGGTTGCAGCTTTCTCTCTGTAACACAATGGTCATATTAAATTGCAGACAACTTCGTCCGGTAAATTTACTCAGAATTTATGAGATGACAAACGATTTTGCACATACCGAAATTGTATTCGACAATCTCAAATAGGTAAAAGTATTTCGCGGTTTCTGCGTCCAAGCCTACTCGGCAACAAACTGCGTCGTAGACGTCTTTCACGGACGCCGCCTTGGGAACAGTCACGGTGACGACTTCGCGATCAGGTAGCAAAACTTTGAGATCAACCGCTGGACCTTGATCGCCATCCTCCTCCAGTCGATCCGTCAAAAATTCTTGCATAGCATCGCTTTCCGCTATCACGCGTACTGCGCAGACCTTCTCCAAATACTGCTCCAGACCGCGTCTTCTTGCGTCAAGTTGTTGCTCACTCAATCTGTAATGAAAATGAAGGAATTCTTAAAGATTGTTTTCTGTTGCTGTACTAGATTATACTAGAACTTTCTTCCTCGCTTTTACACCAAATTTTAAACATAGATATACATTTATTTCATTAAGATTTTTCTGTCCTACTGCTTGCCTATTGCAGTCATCTTGGATTGTGATATCAGAAGCAAGAAAACTCTTGCAAACTATATTGAAATGTAAATATTTCAAAATAAAACATTTGCAATTCGATAGAACAGATTTGTAAGTATACCGAAAACTTCTCTTGTATTTCCTTAATCAACAAACAATCATATATTTAAAATTGAATTATACATAATCAAAAAACAAAACAAAGTACATGACAGCTATCAAATTGCGATAAATAATTTTATTCTATACCGAAGAGTTTAGAACTATTTAGAAGTGTCTTTCTCAATTAAATGCAAATATTGTTTCATTAAAAAGTAATTCTATTTTAATACATTTTGCAAGAATTTTCATTAAATATGTGTTTTCTCGCTTTTGATGTCATCAGTCTAAAAAAGATGCTTATTTCAGCTATAAAAACGAACCTTCATAATATATGGATAAAAAATGTATCTTGTTTTTGAAGAGAAAAAAATGTGCAGAATGTGCGAGAATCGTGTGATTATAAGATGCGCTATGATATTAATTTATTCATTTCGCGGCTGAACTTGATACGATTTACATCGATGTATGAAATTAAGTATGAGGATATTACTGGAATGGCCATTTTCCCGGTAGTTTCGGGAAGTTGAACCCTATGAACTCCTTCTTCAGTGCCATATGCAACGCCGCGAATTCCCGATATCGACGCGAGCACAAGTGCCTGCCAGCCATGTGGACGTTGAAGACTACATAACGCTCGTGCTTCCTCTCGCGGACGTGATAATCCGGCACGCTGATGGGCAGAGATCGCTTCTCGCTGTAATCTACCGATGCGTAACTAAACAAAAATGTAATACATTTAATATTTGTACTACGTGTATGCACGTATCTGCTTGTGTATATATAGGATGTCCTAAAATTGACGCTAAATATTTTGAAGACAGATTCTTTTTAATATTTTAAGATGAAAAGTCTATAATACGAAAATGCCGAGGCTATGATAGTTTTCAAATGGAAAAAGTTTAAAAACTACGAATGTGATAGAGCTAGAATTTCTCGTATTCAGGAATGATAATCAGTGTGAAGGTGCTTCCTTGAACTTCTTGCCTTTGACAATAATAAAATTTAACATCTTCAGGCATTTTTGTATTACACTTTTCATTTTAAAATACATATTACAAAGAATGTGTCTTTAAAGATTTGTTATCAGTTTTGAGACATCCTGTATATATATCTATTAATATATATCGATTAAAAGAACATACATATATACATGTGTGTTTTAATCGATCAATCCAGATAAATTGTGAATCAAGGTTGCTATTATTTCAAATGTCATATCGATGAGATAATCTCTACGATAATAGAATCGTTGAAAAAGGTATCAAGCTGTTTAAGTAGCAAGATTTCTCGTCGCTCGCCGAAATAGCGTTCAAGCCGGAAGTATTGTTCAAGTATTGTTCTTACCTCAGATCTTCGCAGGGCTCCAATCTTTCCGCTTCCTGCGGCGTCACGGAAATGACAGTCAGGGTGAGGACATCGCCGCCTGATTTGATCAGATCCACCACCTGCTTATGAGTGGCGCCTTCGACATTGACGTTGTTCCTGCAAATAGAGTCGTCGTTATTAATTCATTACCTCTCGCGTGATATGTCTTTCGCCACCGATACACCGTAATACACGCGATTTACAATTTGAACCGACCTCAATTGTGATTGCGGCGCACCGGTGGAATTCCACCGTTTGCGATTCTCGATCCACTCGCATTGCAACGCGGTCATGTAACACGTCAACATATTTCACGCAGAGTATTCTTATCGGCGTGATAGTGTGCTAATCACGAATTGAACTGCGCGCAATGTTCACCGGGCTGTCGCGAGAGATTCACAAGTGAATGACGATCCGCGGGGCGATTCTCGCGACTCGCACAACGCACATCCGGTCCTTTGGCGACGAAAGAAGCAAGGCGGGCCTTCGACGAGGTCGCGATCCGGCCAATCTGGCTCTCGCGCACGTTGTCAGCGCCAGTTCCAGCCAGTCGAAAGGGAATAGGATACCGGTAATCGGCCTTTTTATCACGAGTTTCGAATTCCGATCGGTGAAAGGACCGTCACGATTGGTCTGCACGCGGAGGCACGACTCTCCCCGGAGGTCGACAAATGTTGCTGCTACGGATTTCCACGTCTGCGTGCGAGGGAAGGCGCGTCGCGTACTTTATACACTTCGCTATCATGTGTACCGGGTGGGATCCTATTGTAAGACGTTATTTATCTTCTGGACCTCCGGCTCCGGGGATCATCGGAATTGCCCCGCTTATCGCTTTATTTGATTGCCCAATATAATGACATTTTAAAACATTTAAATATACAATGATTTAATCGCTACATATATACTTTATATTAAACGTCATCATAGAAAAGTATATTTTCTCTTATTTTTGATAAATTTATTGCGTTGTACTTAATAGTATCTGTTCGTACTTTGAATTTCTCTGATTAGATCTTATATCGCTATCGCCTCGCCATTTGCTAGCCACGTCATTTGTATTATTATTATTATCTGTATAATTTTATGCATCGCTTAAGTCTAATTTGTAAATGCATGCAACAGTTATTATTATTGTTATAAAAAGAATTTTCTTGCTTGCACAACGCATAAGGCAGAAAAAATTAACTAATCGGAATTTTTTATTTCATGGAAAGAAAGGAAATGAAGGACCTTGATTGGTTCATTTTCTTATACTTCATCCGTTATGCATTATGCAAAACTCTGTGGTCCCGCCTCTAAGCATTGAAGTTAGAATTATAATGAAGAATTAACGAACAGCATTAAGTGCACACTCCAAATTCATTAAATATAAACTCTTCTTTTTTTATTTTATATGTTTTTTGTTTCTCTACAATAGCATCGGGCAATCACGTAGTCGACGGATATAAATTTTATATAGAACATCATGATATAAATTGTTCTGCAATTGCAATGTTTCTTCGCTGAATACATACTATTGCGTATTTTTAATTGGTCATAGCGTATCTTTTTTATAAAATAATTTTTAAGGAATTTAGTCATCATGTAATGAAATTTTCTTCTTTTGTATATTCGGATTACGTGCATGTTCCAATTTTAATTGTAATACGAAAATTTAATGTACTGAAGATGGTCACATGGTTGACTGAAACGTTTACTTCGTTTATTTGAAATACATGTTTTAAAGCTAAATACATCAAGCGTAGTGGCTGTACGCTCCTTACCGTTTATAATTCTTTTTTTTCTGTAGTGCATGTATTAAAGTCCTGCATATGGCACCGAATCATAAGATATTTTTCAGCTGACTAAATTAGATCGGGCGATCGGTCAATAACGGCACTATATGTACGCTAATCTGTTAGAAGATAATGCGCTTCAGTGGGCGAGTGTGTGGGCTTTCTCGCGAGCACACATAGACACACGGTGTTTATAAGCATTCAAATGCGTGTGTTATGTCTGGCGATACGCGCATCGCTTCCTTCTCCGCGATCGCGCGAGCTGATTACAAATGCACCGTGACCATGCTACTATCCAAAACTCATTCGCGAAGCACGGCTGGGCCCGCTAATTGCGGTAGACTGAGATAATAAAGCATGGAAAATATAATGATTCGCGCCTAAGTTAATAGAACTCCTAATGAAGTTTAATGATTGACGCAATTCCGAATGAATGACTGTTCGTTTTATCGGATGCATGTAGCGAGAGCGGCTCCTTTTATGTAATATTCACTTATCGTCGCTCGTTAAAACGAGAATCATCGTCAAACCTTCGAGTCCAGCGATCTCAGCTAATACTACGATGTGTCCATTGTTTAATTTAACTTAACCCTTACCGTACTAATATGGGTAACTAGTGACCGAGCGATTCCTGTTCGTGCAAATTTCTTTGAGTCTTTCGGTAATTATAAATTATATTACATTTTATTATTTTCCAAAATAAAGAGTCAATATTTATTCTAGAAAGTTGAAAATATGTTTGGTGAATTTTTAGAGATTTTTAAAATTATTTTGAAGAGGTGAAGAAACGAAGAGATTTGAAGTGACCCTTGATGGTATGAATGAGGCACCAAATTGTAGATGATACGGTAAGGGTTAACTTTCGATTGAGATAGCTGTTTTTATTGCTGCCTACAGAACACATCTTATCCGAGGGATGTTCTGGGAACGTCCTTATTATAAGACATAGGGTGCGTTTCGAGTTACGCATAAAGCACATGATGCATTATTCGTCCTTGTTGTTCATCAAATAATAAAGAAGAATAAAACGATACATCAAAGAACATTCTCTGGATATCTTTAAAACATTCTTTAAAGGTTTGTGCTACAGGTGAGTATGATTTCCTCGATGATCAAAAAACACGTTTCAGCGAAAAAACTACGTGAATCCCATGTCACATTATAGTCGATATATGTTCCAAAATTCATGTATATATAAATTCATTCTAAAATATTTAAGCACTAAGATGCTCTAAGATCAGCTTTCATTGAAAATAGATTTATTTCTCTTAATTATAGTTTATTCTTGCCGGTCTAATACGAATTGTAATTTTTTAAATTATTTGACTGATCGAATTCTAATCTCTAATTCATAATCCTTAATCTTCAATCCGTAGTATAATACGGGCTTAATGCAGGCGTAAAATAACTTTGTGGAAACCATATGAAGCCTAAGGATAATAGCATAATAACGTAACATAAGAAAAGAAGTCATATAGAATATATAAAGATAAAAAGGGAGCGTCTAGCTCGCGCGATTATCGTTAAAACTTTTTTGCAAGCTATCAGGGAACATAAAAAAATCCTTAATAAATCGCTAGAATATATAAAGGTTAAAGGGGATAAAAAAAAGCATCGGCCAAAGTTTCAAAAATCTTTTGTCATTTCAAAAATCTTTTGAGATATCGGTATAAGCCGATCGATTACGCTGTAAGCGACGAATACCAGTAGGCACAAGCCGGCCGTAAAGTATAGACGGCAGAAACCGCAAAATTGGATGAGTGAAAGCAAGAGTTTCGATCAATTTCACGCGATGATATACTTCGTGATTAACGGGAAGAGAGTATTCGAGGAGGACGTGACGGGGCGAGAATATTCGGCGGGTCATCCAATCCGCCTTCTTCAAGCATCGGTAAATTGCCGCCGAGAGCCGCGGGAGAAAAAGATCTTTCAATTTTGCAAGATGAGGAACTGCGCGAAACGATGTTGCTGAAATATTGACTGGTCCCTTGTAAGATATGCGTCCTTGAACCGCGCGAAGTTTATGGGAACCTTGACCCTTTGAAGGCCGTGAATATACTTGCCGCCGATCGTCGATGTGCGAAAATGTGATAAATAAACTTTAGACTTAAACTTAATCTAAAATATGCTCTTTGCTTTCTGTTTCTTACTTTTTATCCCCTTTAACCTCTTGCTTTTTTGTGTCCTATTCTATTTCTTTATTTTTTATCACCTGATATAAAAATTTATGAACCTCAACATTGAGATTTTATAACTCTTAACGACAGTGACGTTATATAATATTATCATTATGCAGATATTATATGTGATAAAAAGTTGTGCAAAACAACAATATATAGATAGCGACATTGTTGTTACAATTATACAGAATCTTAGAGCAGGAGAGACAAGAAATATATGGTAAGAAATATGATCGTCGATAAAACAAAGAAAGAAAGAAAAAGGTAAGCAGTAAAAAGCAAGAAACAGGAAGCAAAGAGCACATTATAGATTACGCTTTATCGTTTTGACTATTGTTAAATGTGAGATGACGCTTGCGATACACCGATAGTATCAAGTGACATCATTATTTACTTTCCTCGATTTCTTTAATCGTCGATTCCATTGTTATCAAAATAAAGATTTAGCGCGGCGCAGCCCTTTATTTAATCTGACTGGACATCACGATTTGCGTCATATCTAAAACAAGCGTCACGTGAAAAGTATATTTCTTGAGATCAATATGAAGTGTTATCAGCTTTCAATTCTACGTATAGCTTTAGCTGCGCGTTCTCCTATAACGTAGTAATCGAATTTATCAAGGATGAACCGTTGCAGGATGTATCTACATCATTAAATAAAACTCTATGCAAATAAATTCAACCGAGCGGTAATATTTTAAGCAAATTAGCTTTTAATTAAACGAAACACGATTACTGTGCGCACAGGGTGGCTAATGATCGGGTATGCAAATCCAATGGCGCTAACGACCTCGCCAACGGAAATGGTAAATGCACCTAGCGAATTTAGACAGTCGGTTAACTAACAGTTAACTCGCGACGATAAAGATGTTCGCTCATTGTATTTATCATAATTCAGTAACTCGATCTTTTCAACGTTAAAGCTGTACGATTAGATATCAAAGAAGCAATGGTAATTCAATCTCTTGAGTTAAATAACATTCAAGAAATGGAAAGTTACTTTTTAAAAATAACAAGTTATAGTTACTCGTTATCGAGTAGAAAAAGTAACAAGTTATCGTTACTAGTATCGATTTTTAAAAGTTACTCGTTACGGTTACCGTTGCTTGAGAAAGTAATTTGTCATTATTTTTCCGTTACTTTTTAAAAATCGACGACCACCAATCACAACGGACGGATGTCTTTCTAGTCTCAAGCACTACGAGTGGCTTATGTCCAATCGTGTACAAAGTAACGATAAAATTGTAAAATTTGTTATAAAAAAATGTAACTACGTTACCGTTATAGTTACCAAAAAAAAGTAACGCAGTTACCAGTAAAATTACCAAAAAAAATAATCTACAACTGTAACTTCGTTACAAATAACGAGTTATTTCTATTCTCTGGTATTTTTGTTATTTTTAACTACTTCCATTCCTTGGTAATTTTGTTATTTTTAATTTTCATGTGTATCCAAATGTAAATTAAACCATTTTTGTGGTTTCAAAGTAACAATGTCCGCAATATATATTTAATGTATGTAATTTAATAAATAACGAACTAAATTTGAATCTAATTTAATACATTTTCTTGAGCCAAATTGTTTAACTCCATTGTTTTAGTTAAATGAATGACACATAACGATATTGATAACTATCGATAAGTGATACAGAATAGCATCCCTGCTCCTGTATTCTGTCATTCGTTATGCAACCGTTATGTGCTCATAATGACAGTTGCGTAAATATTTTATATAGTAAAAAAGCTGCGCAATTGTCGTTATGAACTCATAACGACTGTATAACAAGTTACAGAATACAGGGGCTGGTAACCTATTCTGTAACTCGTTAAGACAGTAACGACATCGTTGCGTAGATATTTACTGTCTTAACGAGTTACAGAATAGGGGCCCTGGTTAATCAATTATTTCAAAGAATTTCTTGCTATTTATTAACTGATTAGTTGTCATTAGGAAAAGCCAATATTAGGGAAAGTATATATATAAAGTCATATTTCTATAAATCGTAATTACCCTCCCATTGAGGGAGAATGACGACCTATAGAAATAACTAAAAATAACTCAAATTAGCTATAATTTGACATTATGAGTTTAACAGCATAGCCGAGGGAAATAATGCTGAATCCTACGTACTTTTATTTATTACTTGTGGGATTAAACTGTGATAAATGGAACTGGCGAGATGAAACTTGAAGATATATTTCGCACATTTATTTTCCCTAAGATTGCCTTTTTCTAGTGACAGCTAATCAGTCAATAAATAGCGAGAAATTCTTTGAAATAATTGATTAATCAAGGGTGCAATTCTGTATCGCTTATTGATAGTTGTCGATATGTTGTCATATTGCGCAGATATTTTGTATAATAAAAAAGCTGCGCAACGACACATAATGACGCCGACAATTATCGGTAAGCGATACAGAAACCTAGCCCAAGTCTACGACGGAAACCGATCAGAAACTTGTGAGCACAACAGATTTTACAACTACCGTGTTTGTCAAGCTTTATAAACGAGAAGTCAAACAGATTGAATGTATTCGTTACGCATCGTGCACGTTTGTTTTTATCATTCTTACATCAGAATTTGCAAAGAGGATATGTGTATTGTTCTCATGTACTCTTCTCTCGGAACTCTATTTCGCCAGCATTGGGTAGCGTGATTAATCTTCTCCAATTATCCTGTCTAAAAGTTACGCGCAATGTGTAATTTGTATCTTTGGGACGCCCCTGCATTTTCTGATAAGCTTCACGATAAATATTTCGACCAGTCGATATCCCTGACGTGGAATGCGATAAAATTCTCAACACCAATTGAGTCAGATTAGTTTCCGCTTCTAAAAAAAAGATTAGAAAAGAGATAATTTATGTTAAAATATTCTCTACTTTAAGGAAGAGCGTTAATATTCTACAGGATTTCTGAGTGTATCGGGATTAAAGTACATTGGGAGATCATCTGCCTTTTATATCTGCGTTGATTAGAACTGTAATCCTTGAGCAGCCACATACGATACCGAGTAGGGCTAGTTGCCAAGCGACGATATATAAAGCAACTGATCCTTGATGAATATGTATATAGCGAGCGATTAATATATTTCCATAGACTTAAATAAACACGAACTTTGGATGTACCTAGCTTTTAGCATTGATCGCACGAACGAAACGCGAAATTCCGACTGTTCAAAGCGAAAACAAAGATCCATTTAAAATTATATTTCATAAATTGAAAAACATTTAAATATCATTAAATATGATTAAAAGAACAACGCGTGAGTTGCAGAAAATGTTTAAACTATATAATATTAACTATTTATAAATTATTGTTAATAAATTTCAAGTTTTCTTCGTATATAAATTAAGTGCATCAAATCCCGATTTAATGGAATACAAGTTATAATTATTATTCAGAATTATTTATCTCTCTCTTTTATAAACTATCAGAATATTATAGTTCTATTTGATTTTATTTAATATAATTTCTTTTCTTTTCTTTTTTTATAGTTAGTATTTAAAATAAAAAATTATTAATTAAAATTAAAGCATAATATAATTTTTTCTCGACAAAGAAAATAGATATTATGTTATAAAAAATAATAAATAATATTTTAAAATATTAAGTAGCATCTATGAAAGTTCAGAATCAAGCTATCGTTCCTACCATTAAGTTTATCGAAACATTTGTATTCGATATGAAAAATTGATGTCTTGGATTAACTTGTTCAGAAAAATGTGCTACGTTTCTAATATGCGTATCTTCTTGTACCACTGTCACGACGACAAGTACAGTACAAATGCTGTACAAAAAGCAGAAACAAATTTCGTACATGAAAAAAAATGATGCAGTATTAATGGCATCCAATAGTAATCTAATTGAAGATAAGTAATCTAATTTTGTTGATTCAATGACGATATTAATGGAACAAATACGTCATACTTTTATTGAATAAACCAGATTATTTTCAATTAGACAATTATTATAGTTAATATGTCATTTTTTTCTATGTAAATATTAAATATCAAAAATAAATAACAGTTAAATCTTCAGTAATTTATAACCCATGCTAGACTACAGAAATCAAACTTTGACTTTATTTTAAAGTGGCAAAGCGTGTTGATCTATACATCCTTGTTTCTTAGTTATCTATTTTGCAATTTTTTCATCTAACAATCTCATACTTAGTATTTGCGCGTAAATACATCCAACATCGCACGTTTATTCGAGTATTCCGAAACGCGCCAAGACCAACGCGGTGTTTAGCGTCTGATTCTTCGAGCTCCAGTTATGAATTGTTCCAATTCAAATTGGTGTAATTTAGCATAGAACGTTCTTCTAATCGCGGAGCCGCGTTGGAGCCGTGTCGTAGCGCATCGCGTTTTCGTCAAGGCGGCTGGTCGGAGTCGAGCGCTTCTGATGGTTCACCAAGAGAGGTAAGTGCGGATGACGCGGGTGGAAGGGACAATCCTTCTACTCACACTTCCAGGATACGATCGCCTTTGCGGACACCGGCCTTCTCGGCAGCACCCCGCGGTAGCACCGCGCTGACATGTTGCAGCGGTGCGTACAACTCGCCGTTGATGCTTCGCAGTTGTCCACCCTCGCTGACCTGGCCGCGTACGTTGAACCCGAAGCCCGTCTCCGTTTTGTAGATCGTTACACATCGCGGCCCTTGGCCGACCGGGTCCTTATCTGGCCCGGCAGCCGGCGGATGCTGTGGTACGCGCGCGTTGTTGTTCACCATTGTCACGGCCGCCGCTACGTTTCTCGTACTGCTGTCCTGGTTCACGGCTGGCAAGCGGTGCACCTCCGACTCGCAGTCCGCCATGTTGCACTCTGGCCGCCCATTCACGACAGCCGCTACCAGCCGCTACCATACGCTGTCACCATTCTCGTAGTCACTTGGACCTAGGGATAATAGTCGAGATGAAAATGAATAATATCGATGCTGTTGCGTCGAAACCGGTATCGATGTCTAACCGAAATTGAGAACGATATTTAAATCGCAAGCAAAATATCGATACTTGTTGCTATCGATATAAATTAAACGTTCTGTTTTTTCGCGATAATGTTGTAATGGTAAAAACAGAAGAATTATAATAAATAGAACGTTAATTATAATATGATAGAACGCCTTAGTAGTTATTTACTTTTCTTAAATTATAACATAACAAAATTAATGTAATCTTTGATTTTTGGAAATAATGGAATTTTAAATGACTATGCTTCTAATAAAAATGAAAATCATAGCTGTCCAATAATTTACTGGTATTATCTTATGTTCAATGGAAAGAAAATTCCTTAAATTTTCTCAATTTTCCCGATAACATTGCAATATTGATTATTATATTGTGCAGGTGGGTCTAGATGTCGTCACTTATACGGACCAGTTGCAAAAATCTGCAAACGTCGGCGTGCCGCCTTCCATCTTTTGCGCTCATTGATTTCACCGCCTCTGTCGGTAGCGTAACTGAAGTCGACAGAGGGAGTCAGTCTGCTCATTCTGGTTTGACTGGTTTGCTGCGGCAGTAATCATTGCTGGTTGCTAAAGACCAAGAATGTGCTGCCATCAGTTTCAAATCTCTTGCAAGTAATCCGCTCAGACGCGATCAAGAGATGAAAACACATGCAGTCATTCCTATTTCATTAACTTTTTATTTTCAATTTTGTATCATACTTATACATAGATAGCAGAAGATGATTGTGAAATATTAACAATGATTGTTGTTTTCATTTTTTAAATATGTTGACATCATTGAAAATGGTTTTAACCGTCGTGTTTCGATTTTTTTTATTACTGACAATGAAATTTTATTTTTTATTTAGTTGAAAATTAATTTTTTTCTGTCTTTCTTGTATTGTGGTGAGTTCGGGAAAACGCTATTAGCGCTACTTCTATCTTCGTTGTTTATTAGAAGTAAAACAAAGATAGAGCTTCGATGTATAGAATGCAATGAATAATAAATGTTGAACAATGGCTCGTAAACGAATTATTGACGAATTATATATTATGGATCTTCTTTTATCGATCAATAAAAGAAGGTGAATATAATTCTTCACTTATATCTATGTATTAGAGCCCGATATTCTGATAAAGTTTCATTACGATCTACAAAGAAAAAGCGACTTTTGCTCTTTTGAATAGATATGATGAGTTTTTTTTATATATTTTGCTCGGTTGCATCAAATATCCGTTTACGAACAAATATAAAAATAACATACCAATATGATTTCACTGAGTATGTTTAAACAAATGTAAATATTCTGTAAAACAATGTGGAGCTTACAGATTATGAGAGGTGTCTTAATTTTGCGATCATATACATATTTACAAAATTTGATTTCTATCCAATTTTATACATAAATGAAAGATTTAATACTGTGTTTGTATCTGTCAACATTATCTTTTTATTCATATAAACTATTTATATATAATTATGTGGCGCATGAACGTGTTACGAAATTGCGCAGAACTGTCGGGGGGAGCTTCTGGCGCTTCGTGCTTTAAAGAAGACGTGTCATTTCCTATAATATTTAACATACATGTTTAAGAATTGCAAAAGTATTTTGTAGAATTTTGTTTAAAGATTTTAATATTTCTTACATTGACAATCAAAGTATAAAATTTCATACAAAGCATAAAATTGCAGTCGTTGCATTTTTGTATTAAATTAATAACTTGCTCAAAAATAAAAGCCACTTCTTTTATATTTTTTAGCTCGTAATCATATATCTTTGTTCATCATTTATTTCACATTTTATCTACGGATACGCAATACATCGTTAACCATCGTCCACTATATAGTTCATATTAATCATATTTTTAAAAGCATAGATGGATTTAAAAAATGGTATAGTTTTTATACTATGTCGGTGTTTATATAATCCTACAGTGTTGATGTTGACACAAACACTAATACGGTGTAGATTTAAGTAGAATTTTACGAGCGATTTAGCTTACTTTTCTAATGCTGAAACAAAGACTATAGTTCTCCCTTAATTATCATACTCTAAAAAATGATAAAATATGAGTATGGATTTAACATCCTGATTTAAATAATTTAACACCGACATGATGTTAACACCATATCAGTATTTATATTAATGTATGACGTTAAATCCATATCCATATTTTTTAGAATATTGTGACTGAAGGATCCTTTTATAGCTGTTCTAATGTTCCAGCATTAGACAGGTAAGCTAAATCGCTTAAGGAATTCCAAAATTTGAAAAACTTTCGGACACTCTCAAAACAATATTAATGCCACTACAATATCGTATTTTTTACAATGGAATGTTATACGTTCTATGTGTGCAATCGAAGTAACGTTATATTCAGTGCAGAGATGATACGAATGTTTGCTCTTTGTTCACGTAGTATTGTTCGTATATATAAATAAATGATATCGATGTAATAAAAATTATGTATATCTATTGTTTAAATATATTTTTATAGCATAAAAAATTATCATCTCTTTCTAAATTTAATAGCTAGATTTAATAGATTAACTTTTTATTTAGACGTAACATTTTATTTTTATGAACTTTCTATAGATAATTCTTTTATTCAAAAATTTTTTATTTTTCCCATAAATATATACTGTATCTAAATAAAAATTCAATCTCTCTTTCTTGTTATTTCCGTTATACTTGCCATTTTCTATTTCCGTTTTTTTTTTTCAAAACTCAAAGCCTGCCGAATTTTGATAGAGAATTTTGATAGCCGAATCTAGAAAACAAGAGACAGAGGGAGGAATAAAAGAGAGAGAGAGAGAGAGGGGGGGGGGGGGGGGGGGGA